GTGTGTGTGTGCGTGTGTGTGTGTGCGTGTGTGCATGTGTGTGTGTGACACGACACGACACTGTTTTGTGTGCCACACACACACACACATGCACATGCACAAGCGAAGCAGTTTACTCATGAGTTGATGCGCTTTGCTTCTCATTGCCATCACGAATGCACAGGTGGTGGATGTGACGCGGGTACTTGCTGGCCCGTTTGCAACGCAGCTGCTGGGGGACAGCGGCGCGCGTGTGTGCAAGATTGAGCCGTTTATTGGGGACGGCACGCGCCTCTGGGGCCCGCCATTCGTGTCTGGCAGCGATAACAACAAGGCGACCAGCGGCAGTGGTGGCGACAGCGACAGCGACAGAACCGATCCAAGCAACGACAACACACGCACGGCGACGTACTTCTTCGCCGCAAACAGAAACAAGCAGAGCCTCGCCCTCGACCTCAAGAAGCCAGAGGGCCTAAGCATTGTCAAGGTGAGGGTGCGTGTTTGTGAGTGTTGGTAGCGCATGGTGTAGATTGCGTGAGAGTGTGTCGTGTGTGCGTGTGTGTGCGTGTGTGTGCGTGTGTGTGCACGTATGACGTGGTTGCGTACACACCCGTGTGTGTACGTCCGAGTGTGTGCACGTATGACGTGGTTGCGTACACACCCGTGTGTGTGTGCGTGTGCGTGCAGTGGCTACAGTTCACATCAGGCGTGTATGCGTACATTTCCTTGGCTCGTACACGTGTGTGTTGTTGCTGTTGATTGACGATAGCATGTGGTGGCATGTGACTTACGCCGTAACGCAGGAGCTGGTGGCAGAGGCTGATGTGTTTGTTCACAACTACCTGCCAGAGAGGACAAAGCAGTTTGGGCTCGACTACGAGGAGCTCAGCGCCATCAACCCGCGCCTCATCTACTGCGAAATCAGCGGTGGGTGTTTGCGTGTCTGCGCATGTACGCGTGTGCGTGCATGTGCATGTGTGTGTGTGTGTGTGTGTGTGCGTCTGCATGTAAGTGCATGTGTGTGTGTGTGTGTGTGCATGCGTATACATGTACCCTCGCGTGCACTGGCTTTTCCTTTCTCCCTGCTGCACCACGACCCAATTTTACACCCCCCCCCCCTCAACTCCATTTGCTCCTCTCATCACATGCCCTTCCTCCTCTTTGATGGTGCGCAGGGTGGGGGTCGAGCGGCCCCCGCTGCCACGAGCCCGGGTACGACATGATTGCCTCCGCTGTTGGCGGATTCATGCACATCACTGGGGAACCAGACGGCCCGCCAGGCAAGGTGCTGCACACCACGTCCTGTGATGGCGTGTGCTGGTGGCATGTGGTGGCGTGTGACGTGATCAAGTGACTACACGCACACACATGTGCATGTGCTTGTTGCTCACCGTATCGGATCATCCATTTGGCACACACTTGCACCCTGCTGCCCTCGGCCAGCCTGGCGTGGCCATAACTGATCTGGCGACCGGTCTGTTCGCCCACGGCGCCATCCTCACCGCTCTCCTCGCACGCGAGCAAACAGGTTTCGAACCGAGGAGGGGAGGGGTGAAGTGAAGGGTGAAGGGCGGGGGGCGGGGGCGTGTTGTTGTTGTTGTTGTTGTTGTTGTTGTTGTTGTTGTTGTTGTTGTTGTTGTTGTTGTTGTTGTTGTTGTTGTTGTTGTTGTTGTTGTTGTTGTTGTTGTTGTTGTTGTTGTTGTTGTTGTTGTTGTTGTTGTTGTTGTTGTTGTTGTTGTTGTTGTTGTTGTTGTTGTTGTTGTTGTTGTTGTTGTTGTTGTTGTTGTTGTTGATGTGAATGTTGTTTGTTGCTGTTGTTGCTGCTGTTGCTG